AGTTTGAGAAAGATGAAGATAGGAAAGGCTCTAGGATTGTATGGTACACAAATAGAGGTTTGGAAGTGTATGGGAGAGATTGGCATATTCTGGACAGGATTTTGCAAACAAAGAAAATGCCAGAGAATGGAGGACAAGTACTGTGGAACCTATTGACAAGAATAAAGGAGGCATATAGAGAGTTTTACGAATTATCAAGGGATCAAACTTATGAGCCACACTATGACACTGTAGGAGAGAGTGATTGAGCACTGACTATGGCATGAAATGAATGTATTAGAGAATTAGATTGGTTTTATTCTAGGGAGGTCAATCATTGAGGCTGTGTTGCTAACTTAGGCAATTGATTGAGAAATTTAAGGAGAACAACAAAGACCCCCACATGGTTATTATTAATTTAAATAAAGCATACGAAAGGGTACCTAGCGAGTTAATTTGGTGGGTGTTGGGAAAAAAAAGAGTTGTTAGAGGATATATTGACATGGTGAGGGATATGTACGAGGGAGCGCTAACTAGGGTGACGACAACTAGTGGAGAGAAGTTAGTTTTCTGTGACAGTAGGCCGACATCAAGGGTCAGTGTTGAGCCCATATCTTTGTGTTTTGGTTATGAACGGGTTAACTTGGCATCTAGAGGATGACATACCATGGTGTATGTTATTTGCGTATGGCATAGCTTTGATTGATGAGATTAGAGATGGTGTCAATACAAAGAACTTTGGAGCGATGCTTTAGAATCTAAAGGTTTTAAAAGTAGCCAGATTAAGACAAAATACATGGATGGACCGCCTGATCTCTACCTGCTTCTTCCACATTATATCATGGTTCTCTTCTGCTTGATCAATCGGCTAAAGAGGATGGGGGGATGGGACCGGAAGAAGCACAACTTCTGGGAAAACGACCATCCATTTTGTCTATTATGGGGGGGAATCCGCAGGCTATGCAACCATTAAGTCGGGTGGTGGGGATTAGTCGATTGAGTGCCAAACTTCTCCATCCTTCTTGATGGAGGGAAAGGTCAAGGTGAGTGGTCCATTCATTTCTTCCCTGCCTTTCTTGACCGTTGATTAAAGCCCCTGAATGGATCATTTGCCTCTTACTGGCTAGCCCAATGTATCGTGAGTCAAACCATCAGCCTTTTATGGGTGGGAAGGGAATAGATGACTAAATAAAGCAATAATAGAAGTAGATTGATGGCCAAGAACAACCTAAAAGAGATTATTTTTTATATATGGAGTTGATAATCCTTGAGAATGGGTAGATGGAGGAAGATGTTGCGCATATAATTAGAGTAGGGCGGACAAAATGGAGATGTGCTTTTGAAGTTTTATGAGACCGTCGCTTTTCTAATGAAATTGAAGGGAAAGTTCTGTAGGACCTCTGTAAGACCAGCCATACTTCATGAGAAGGAATGTTGGGCAGTCAAGAAACAACATATCTATAATATGAATATAGCTGAGATGTACGAGTGGTAAGACAAGAAAGGATAGAATTCATGAGGAACTTTGGAGCATTTGCAATAGGCAATAAAATGATGAAAAGTAGACTTAGTGGTCTGGCAATGTGTAGTGTCGACCTAGAACAATGCTAGTTAGTAATGGTTATTTAGTTCAAGTGGAAGGCTCCAAAGGGGCAATGGGAAGACCGAAAACACATGGATCGAAGTCGTGAGAAGCGATATGTTATGGTTTGACTCAGGGTACAATGGCCCTTGATAGAGCGGAATGATAGAACATGATTTGTGTAGCATACCCCAGTTAGTTTACGTAAGGCTTGAATGATGACGATGATTATTATGATGGTTGAGTTTTTGTGTTGTATAATCAGTCTGTTGGTAACCTTTCAAAGAAGATGTCTCTTACATTTTCCATTGTGTAAGCTAAAAATGGCTTGCTTAACAAATTCATGTTATCATTTTAACATGAAGTGTCATACTCCTGATTTGTTTAAACAAGAATCTAAATTTTATGATATTAACCCATTTCTAATTTAAAATAATTTTGTATAGATGTGTCTTGCGATATTGGCATTTTAGATGAAGCATTGGACACTTGGACAAGTGTCAAATGTCCATGTAATGCTGGCATATACCAGCACGTGTTCGTTATACACTAAATAATAAATTATACACAAGAAAAAGCAATTAAATCAAAACTGGGAGCAAGGAAATTAGTATGTGCAAGGTTTTGTCCATGATTAGTGAGGAATCAATGAATCTTACTTCCATGTCTGGAAGCCCCAACAAGCTTGAGGTCCCAAAAATGTGTCGTACACATTGTACGAACCCTTAAAGAGAAAATAATTGGAGAAAAGCGAAGGATCCTCATAGATCTCAAAAGATTTCTGTTTAGCACTCGCGATTTGGGGGAAGGATAACAATACTTTGGTATGTTGTTTTTGTCCCCGATAAATACTCATGACTGATACCCAATCATTGCAGTGAAATTTTCTTTTTTGGTAGAATGAAGTAAAAATTCTTTATTGCTGTGGGGAGCAATATTACCCGGCACTTTATTTTTGCTCATGTTTGAACATGCTAATGTATTTAGCCTGGCACACCATGTTGATACTTATATAAGATATATCTACTTGTAAGTCATGGAGAATCCCTTTTTTTTTGTATATATACAATAACCATTTCATTTATGGGGAGCCCCATACTTCTCAACATTATGTTAAAAGTTGTAACCGCCACGCCAACTACTAAAGGCATTTGGTTATTCGAAATTATTATTGCCTGAGTGCAACCAATATATAAATGCTCTCTCGTCACATTTACATCCAATATCATGATGCCACTCATCACACATGACAACTCAAGAAACGAAGTCTCTTTCATATAAAACCGATGCATTTATTAACAAAATTTTATACAATTGTATGGCACGTATATGTTTATATATATTTATATAACGCACATGCATACACACAGATATATATGTTTATATATATTGTATGCATTTGGTAATGGCTTTCTATGACATTAATGTAATCCTAAATATGGTTTATACAAAAATGTAAACTACACTTGGTGGGATTTGTGCTTTGGATCATACTAGGATAATATTAAGAGTGGGATTTGTGCTTTGGATCATACTAGGATAATATTAAGGGCTAAGTCCAAATTCTGGAAAGGTAAATGAGCATACCCTGGTAAAAGATTGGCTATGAATTTTCCAAGAAAGAGTGTACTGACTGAATAAAATTGCATTTTGTGCAAATTTGTAACATTCCATCGAGGGATTCAAATCTTTGTGAAAAAGGTCTACTGATATTTGATGGAGTTAACCATTTTGATAACACGTCAAAGTCCATTACAAGAATTAAATATAAAAAAAATGTTGACATGCAATAAGTAAAATGTTATTACAAATAAGCGTTAGAAAAAATCATTCTAAGAATAAAAGAATCAAAACAAATATATTTTTATTGTATTGCACAAAAAAAACTTGTATTTGCAAGTTAATTTCTTATCTTATACTTTAATTTTCATTCTTTTAATATATATATATATATATATGTAGGGAAAGGATTCTGTCAGCCCACGGGATGACTGCTACCGTGTCAGCCAATGGCCCAGATTGAAACTGGGCCTGATCCAATAATTACGACTTTATTTCGTAGTTGAATTTTCATTTTTTTTTCTACAAATCCAAATCATTTGAAAAATAGGAGAATCTAATAAAAATATAAAAAAAAATTCACAAATATAAATTGACTAAACCTCTAAAACTTTTTTGGGGTATTTTGGTCAATTTATATTTTACAAATTATTTTTTTATATTTTTACTAGATGTGCGTTGATAAGAAGAATGAACTCCTAAAATTTCAAGTGATTTGGATTTGTAGAAAAAAAATTACAATTAAAGTACGAAATGAGGTCGTAATCGTCAGATCAGCCCATATTGAATCTAGACAATTGTCTGACACTGTAGCAGTTAGCACATGGGCTGATAGGATCTTTCCCATATATATATATATATATATATATATATATATATATAGTTGGTTGTGTTCTAGTAGTAGTACTACGTAATAACTACTAGTAACGTCGTACCTACGTAATTATACTACTACTATAGTTAGTTAGTAGTAAGTTAAAA